TTATAAACACACAGTGGCAAGTAACATTTATTCACATTAGAATACACTCGCTATGGAGAAACACATACGAACAGATACATTTTATGTAACAATGGTTTAAAGCAGTATCTGCATAATTCATAAACCTGGAAAACAATAACCGTGTCGCACAGAAAACTTCTAAAACCGATCTCCAACTGAAAAACCTTTCATTTAAAATCAAAAATCACGAAATGTGGTTGAGTAGAAAACTAATCTTATTTCTAAACAAAAAAACAACCTGTTTTCAAAAATGGATTTCAATGTACAATTTCGAAGTAGTAAGCAAATATTTTTGTTTTATTTCAAAGTAATTTGCCAATATTTCTCAACTGCATACAAGATATTGAATAAAACTGTAAATTTAAGAGATGATTTCTTGAGTTTCAAGACATATTAAACATTTAAAAGGAAATCACATTCTATTTAATTCTACTCACTCATTATTTACAGTAGATGAATCTGAACTGGAAACTGGTAAATCAGAGAACTGTAGTTATTTCCGTCTGCAAAAACACTTTAGTAAGTCGTGTAGAATGCACGTGAAGGTCAGCGAAAAACGAGTGGCTAAACTTGAAGTAGGTGTCCTTCACAGCTAAGTGAAGATAAATGAGACGGTAATTTCTAACCTAAGAAGTTAATATAAAGTGAAAAGTCTCAATTACACAAAACCACAGTTCAAGAGCTCACCGCAGATGATACAGAAGAGCAAAAAGAAAACGTCACGATTAGTAAATTACCTGTTATCAGAACAAACTCAGATGGTTGTTACTACAACAAATGAGAAAAAAGCAGATAAAAATGGCGTTAAACACCGAAATCCATAAGCAAAATCTTTCCATTTTCGACAATAACGAAATACTGGTTGTCGTTCATAGTATACTAGATTAGATTTGTAAACCTGCCAAGATTTTGAGGAAAGGTCTTGTTTAAGTGAATATCTCGCATTTGGAAGTACGTAGAAGTATGAGCACAAATAATCATTCTTTGGACAACTTGACACAGTTGGGAGCTACATCCAAAACTAAATTAATAAGTTTGAAGGCGCTGCAAAAATAATAAAAATAAGAAAACTCGGATTGTTAAGCAGAAAACTATTTGTGACTTGAAAGAATAACATGCAATATTAAGGTGAAATGTACAATAATCGTAAAAAAATTTCTAATTCAAAGAGAAGAAATTAAATAATAAATGTTAATGGATATTAAATAATAATTAGCCAAGAGAAAATCACAGGTCACAAAGCGTCGGATACCGGTACAGTACACACATATCTCTGCAGCCTATTAAATTTTAATATTTTCGCTCTACCTTCAAAGCCTACTGCTATGTGGATTCTACATTATACATGTCGGGTTTGGTATTTGCTTAACTCCCACTTAAAGTTTCTCCAAACATATACTATGCACTCCCGTGTTCGTACCGTACTTCAGGTATTTGCATATTGAAAGCTAACTTCCGTTAATAGAAAAACGGTGAAGCCTTTTTATACAAATCCCTCCCCCCTGTCTTGAATGTCGTGTCGTCGCTCGTGCATCTTGTTCAATATTCATAATTCTGATAAGCCCTGTATTAAACCGAACACAAACAGCCTTTGTGTTGGGCAAGTTCTTCGTTGGTATCATACAACTTCGCAGTAGTAACAAATGATCTGCGGCTACAGCGCAAATAGCTATATACAAGTCATGCGTCCAAATCCCGCAATAAGCACGGTTTCCCCGTTTCGTGTAATTGAGATAAGTAATAACAAACCTCTACGTTTTCCTTCTAATCAACATTCAAAAATTTAGAAGTGCTAAGGACATTTAAATATCAGATCACTGTGCTAGATCGACCTCATCTGGGGACGGATGTTACACTACAAGGAGCACAAATGATTTCAAATATGCTAATACCAATGTTAAAATGTTAAATGTTTGATTTACACCACGACGACACTGAAAACATCACATTTACACGTGTAACAGAATGTCTCATATTTTAAAAAAATTATCGCGCGCAGAACAACAGGAATTAAAATTCAGTGTCACGTCTGATCCGAGTTTGGATATTATGACATGTTAGGTTTGAAGCGATCAACAGGAATGGAAATTTAAAAAAATTAATTCCTAAAATGTTGCATCTTACAATAATCTAAACAAAACTTGTAAAAACAGAAGTGGGCTTTATTTTAAAATCTCCCCTCCACTAACGTAATATTTTACACACACTCTGCTAATTAAGCAGAGTCAGAAACCACTCTATGCGCCATTTTAAGAGAGCGACGATGACGTCACGGCTTCCAGCCGAAGCGAAGATGCCGCGGCCCCCTAATTGGACGGGTCTGGTCACGGCGCCTTTTCCACGCGAGTTACCGGCGACGAACGCGCGACGCGGCGAGGCGGCCTGGCCGCTCTCGCAGGCGCTCTCGCCCGCCCCCGCGCGGAAGGCCGCTCCCACGCACCGTCAGCGGTGCCAGCAGGCGGCAGGCAATCTACGAGAGCGAGCGAATAACTCACTCGGAACGCACATTAGAGCCAAGCGCCTTCTCTTTTGAAGGCCGACATTCGCGAGTTATAAATGCTCAAATTGTACAATCCACAATCAAATGGCGTACATTTCATTCAAAGGACCTCTTTCAGGGATAACACGTATAAGTTCCTCTCCGAGCAGTGAAAGCGAGCAAACTGCTCGACTGTCGAAGCGAAAATTATAAGCACGTCTAGCGGGTTTGAGCGTCAAAACACAACAGACAGGCAAACACAGTAAGTGACCCTTCGGGCAGGGCGTTAAGTGTTTCACATGGAAGGAGTATCGCGCGATCGTGTATTCAAAGGCAGGCTCAAGTGAAGTCTTCTAAGACGCTCTTCAATCTTGCTCGTCCGTTCTGTCACATCACACTGGCAACAATCCCGGATGCCCGTTTGAGACCCAGCACAACAACATAAATTAATAAAACACAGGAAGTGAAGACGGACGCGAAAAGGAAATGAAGCCAGTGAATAGGAATTATGAGGAAAACATGCAAACAGCCTTCAACACGGTACCGAAGGGGGCATTAGATAGCCGAATGGATGACGAAACAATAGCGTGAGGAAAGGGATGAGATAGAGGGAGACCATTCCAACTGAAGTACGTAGGTGTTCGTAGAAAAATAAACAATCTCCACGCTTAACAGGCAAACTAACACATTGTACGCCACGACTGGCGTATGTCAAATGTCTACACATACTAATTTAAAAGGACACTGAAGACGAGGAGGAAAATCCGAGAGGGCGGTCATCATCAAATGTCATTCAACAAGTCACTTTCAACTACCATCAACAGTGTCGTTCTTGAATCGCATCTTCTAACGCCTTCTTCCGAGTGGCAGAGACCTAATGCTACAGACATCAGCAAGGATGAATGTCCTACGTCATGTCTAATTTCCAACACGTTCTAAACACGACATTAGAACTATAGAACGATCGTACAACTCATATCATTATCCATTTGAACTTACTTTATTATTACCTGAAAACATGTCAACATTAAAGAACAAATAAGATGTCCGTGTCAACACATAGGGACCTTCGCATGATTGATGTATTCAATGACTTCACTTACTTCTTGACAGTTATAAAAAGTGAATAATCTTATGAAATGGATAAATTATTTTATAGATCTTATAAAAATATGGTGTCTCTGTCTCTTCTACCAGAAAGTCATAAGAGCATTGAAGTATTTTTTTGAAAAAACCTTTTGTCGACATTAATTGCAATGAATGACGCGATGTATGATGCCAGGGATAAAGATACCTTTTGCAACAGATATACAATATTAAGTCCAATAAACCAGTAGAAAATTGTATACCTCGAGATCGTTCACTAATATATTTTATAACACAACCCAAAAATAATACAACTAAATGCAAGCATACCCTTATCCTTGCCGCAAGATCACACTTCCAGGACCAGACCACCTTAACGCCGTCTCCAAGTGAGAACTCACCCTCGAAACAAAATAAATCATACAATTATAGTACTGAATTTCTAATAAGCAGTTAAATAATAATAATAATAATAATAATAACAACAATAATAATAATAACAATAATAATAATAGTAATAATAATATTATGAAAGGGATAAAGTTAATTCCTTTACAGTTTCCTGCCTTGAATTTTAAATATCAATTACATTTAAAAGCATACACAAAAAGACCCAATACCCATTTTCGATGTAAACATTAAAAAATCCGATATATCCCTGATAGCAATAAGAAGAATACTTTGTTATATGCACACGCGGACAATTTCGAACCAGGAGCGCCGTGCAGAGCGGTATCTTGGAACGTGACCGCGCCTGGTCCTGATATCGAAGGACATACGTTGCCGGCGCCGCTACAACCCTTGCGACAAACTGGCCTCTCCAACACATATTGTAATGCCATGCGTATCAAAGTAATGGGTAACTCACTGGCCTCTAATTCAAAATTCGTGGCGTCGATCTGAATCGATCGAATAAAGCGAAAAACATATTCCAGATGAGTAAATGTCCGATAACGAACGACTTTTATCTCTCAAGTCGTTGACATTAAGCACAGGCGTACGCAGCCAAAACAAGAGGCGGACAAACTACATACTTGGATCCCTCTAGGTCCCCTTTTTTATTAAATGTGTATTTGCATGTGACACTTTACTAGGAAATAAGTAATACAAGGAGAACCAAATTATAACTTAAATGATACAATTAATAAATACAATTGATTATATTTATACCATTAACCAGAGACTTTGGACACCTTCTTTCCCAAATTCCGGGATATCAACTTATCAGCTTAAGATGGAGGAAATAAGGAATTGATCCCCCCCCCCGTGCGCACGCCTTTGATAAGAACAACTAAACATTAAAAGGAAAAACACCATTTGCGTTTTGAAAAAGTAATCTCACACATAAATCAGCTAAACAACTAATTAACATCTGAAAATATAGAATGAAGTGAGAAATGCGGCGCGCCGACAATCAGTAAGTGGCTGCGTTGAATACGTCGCACATTTGCGAGCTCCAGCGAGTCCCAGTAGGCAGAGATTTATCCCCTGTTTTACGGCGCTCGCTGGGCCGCAATGGAGGCGCGGGCAGCGGCAGCCGGTGCTGAAACTGCGCGCCCACGACACACTTCAAACGGATCAAGCCGCCTCGAGAGCCTCTTGCAGAGGGCAGCTGCGACCCTGCACAAGCTCCTCCACCTCGTCCTTGTACACCTTTACCCCTTTCAATAGTTAACAATAAAGCTTATCATTAACAAAAAAACAATATATTGCATAATGCAATAGCGCTTGCAGACGATTCCGTCTTTCGATCGCAAACTTTTTTAGTGGTTTATCTTTTTCAGAGCAGTATAGTCCACAAGATAATTTTTGGGAAGCAGAAAATTGCATTTTCTGGGCGAATTTCAAGTAAGATGAGTCATTTTTATAAACTACCCAAACTGAATAGTTCAAGAAAACAGGAGTCAGTTATTTGTTTGCAAGGTAACTTGCGAGGATATTAAATGTATTTAAACAAAGAGCAGAAACTGACGTTTGCTTCGTAGAATGAAAAACAAGGATTCTAATGCGTCACTTAAAATTGCGTAACAAAAATTAATTTCCTCGCAAACAAATTGCGAAATGACGTCATCAAATACAACAAAATGGAAGATTTTTCTTCAATGAATGACAGAAACGTACAAGAGCATTGTTATTGGCAGCATCCATTTTCCCATTACATCCAGTGCGCTCAAGCGGATGTCAAAGGTGAACAGAACAAACGATTCTACCACCCAGTAGTGGAATGACCAAATTTTGGTTCTTCCCAGCTGGGGTCAGCTTCGTGGAAGTCAGTCGGCGCCGATGGAGGAAACAGCGCGTGCGCTATCTCGCGCAGAGGGTTTCGCGAAGTTTGCCTAAGGACTCAATTAATTACCCCCCGGAGGCGCCTATCGACGCCCCGCCGCACCTCCCTCCGCCGCGCCGTGCCGCGCCGCGCCGCGCCGCGCCGCGCCGCCGTCGCTCGAGCCTTGAGCCCTGACCGGTTGGGGGAAATTCACAGACGCCCAAACGCGAAAGCACTCCGATTACTATGTAAATCTGCGTTTAACAACGAGCATGTGGCTGGGTTCGATATTAGTAACAACGGTGGCACTAGTTTTACATTCCCTGATAGACTCAAAAACCTGATAACTCTGCACATTAAAATAATAGAGAAAATATTGGAATATCAAAGGGGTAATTCCCACAACTCGTTGAAGTAACTACTTTTGTCCACACAGTAGTTTAATAAGTCTTTGTTATTCATATCTAATTACACCTCTAACATCTTTACATTACTGACTGAGTACTTCAAATTCCACACGGGAAAATTTACTATTTTAAACACAGCCGCTATTTTAAAGCAAAGGGCGTTAACAATGTGCATTAACTACCAACAAACAGGAGGTATGCAGTGCAAAAGTTCTATGAATTTAACAAGAGTGACTTCCTTTACGAAACCTCGCCAGCGCCTTACGTTAGCACCTCTCCACAGCCACCGCAGTCTATCAGGCAGTTATCGGTCATGAGGGCGGCGGCTGCGCGGACAACGCCCGGATTAGCCCCGTTCGCGCACAAAGGAGGCGCGCAATTACCGCCAGACGGCGCGGCGCGGCGGCGCCGACGCCTCTGCACAAACGGCGACGGACGGCTGCAATACCGGCGGCGCAATTTGCCTCTTTCTTCACTCGGATTGGCTCCTGCGGAGCGCTGGCCGCTGCTGTCGCCTCTTTTCTTTTTTACTTCCAATTCTAGGCACTTTCTCTCGGTTAGTGTCCCCGGTGGAAAACTCGTTACTGCAAAACGACAAAAAGATCTGCAAGTAGCATGGCCACCTTGAAGAAAATGAGGGTCAAAATGTGGTCTATGCCAAAGCGTGGAAAAAAAATATGAAAATCTCGAGAAAAAAATATTCCGAATCAAATCCGTCATTCCCATGGGGATAATTTAAGATTTTAGTATTCCCGCGTGTGTGTATACTTCACGGCATTCTTTAAATTATACCAACGTTCATTTTATACTCCAAAAGTCAAGTAGTGCTCTGAAATTTGCTAAACGATAAACTAGTTTTGGAATTTGCAATTTATGCAATAATGATCTCATTAATGATGCTTCTACCTATTCTAACAGCCCGTATCTAATTACCAGGTCGGGGGAACGTTTTCCTTCTCTGGCAAAAAAAAAACTACAGCCATCTCTCGTGAACGACACAATCTACACGAATACTTTCGACGGGGTCTTTCAAGTCATCGGACCACGAGTTCTTCCATTCCCCTTTAGTAATTCTTCTCACTTTCTCATTGATAGTCAATACGATTGGACATTTTTTAACCGAATCACTTCCAACCACAGAGACCGGTTTCACCTGTGCAACTAGTCGAAAGGTCACGAACTCTCGTAACTAGGAATTAGGTAAGGGAAGCTCAATAAGGTAATTTTACTCACACCACTCTTGACTTCTTCCGAGCCCTTCATCCCTGTGTGCCCTCTCCTTCATTCGCCTCCGACTCGCGGAGACTTCTCGCCCACTCACCGCAGCCCCCTCACCTTGCGCCCGCGACCGCGTCAATCTCCAGGGCCGCGCGCGCAAATGGGGTTCTTGCTCTTGCGGGCGCTGTACTGTTACCTCTTGCATAATTCATCGGCGGAAGGTCACTTTAATGGCGCCAATGTCAACAGCACGCCTTTATATAAATAGAGACGGAACAAAAGAGCGTTGCCGATGGTTTTCCTACAGTTCGCCATCGCATCAGTGGGCTGGTTCAAAACAATAAGCTGATAATTTCATACACACACTTCAACTTCCCATACAGTAAATGTGAATTTGACAAATCTTATCCGTAATAAAATATATTTCGTTACTAAAAGGACAATTTTAGGAATCCATTTTTTTAAAAATTGAAATAGGAGAAAGATATCGAGATATCGAAACTGAGGAACCGTTTCAAAACTCTGAGCAAGAATAAACGAGGTGAGGTGCTGCATAAACTCAAAAAAGTTGCCAAAGGACAGAAAACAATCTGAATTAACACGACCTATTTTCATTTATTTTCTCAAAATCCGTACAAAATCGCAATGAATTCTTCTGCAAGAAAGTACAACTTATCCTTGTTACACTATGTTATTCTTGTGAAAACCCAGTTGTAATACGTTGTGGTTCAGACGAGTAAAACACCAACACAACCAACAACAGAGTCGACAGATAGAAAACTTAAAATATTGTCAACACCAACAGAGCTTATTTTTCCGGCGCACCGCGTAGTAGAACATACTGACTCTGCGCCCGCACGTGCACTGACTTGCCCGCCAGGGAACGTCGACGCTCTTCCCCAGCGAATCCAGAAAGGGTTGGACAAGCGCTGCCAGTGCACTTTGAGAATTGACGACGACACGATGGCAAGCGCACACGTTTCCTCAGGTCACAGACGACAAGTGGATTTCTGCCCATATGCCTGACTGGGCAACACTTTAAATCCAGTTAGAACACCCTAAAATCCTTTTTCCTAGAGATCTAAAAGCTCGTGCATCTCTATACAGCGTCTGGTGGACATTAGCCTCGACACGACACAAAAAGAAATGCCAACCGAGCGTAACAACTGCCAAGACAATGAACAACTCTTGCACAGGAAGGTCATCCAAAATAGCCATTCAATTCGGGAAGGTTATATTGTACAAGGCGTGCTAAGTTTCAAATTCATAAAACATGACGCAGTCTCTAACACTCGTCCTCACCCTATAACTTACATCTACTATGCCACTTATTTATTTGCACCCAAGTCATCACAAAAAACAACTCGCTTTAATGTCTCGGAAGCCATCACATGAAGAAACACCGTTAAAGAAATACCTGGTCAGTGCTTCTGAAGGAATACGTCAGATTGGTTTTCAGGATTTTCATTACGAACAGGGTAACGTTTAACTCTCTGCATAACTATAGCTTTAAATATCAAATACGTGTAAATATAAAATATAACCCACATTCACAATTTTTATACATCACTTTGCAAGATTATTGTTTCCACTTCCGCTCTCCTTCGAGTCCTCAGTATTGCACACAGCTGCACCGACTACCCAATCCTCAGTTGCATTTGTAACAGGTGAGTCAACTTTTATATTTACTTCATATCTTTCATAAAAAACTCGAATCCATACGTCATATCACCAAAGTAAGTATGTCTCCCGGAAATATATTAGATTTTAAATTATTTTTATTTTCTGAGCAACATTTTTATTGTTGCTCTTCGGAAGATTAACCTTTGCTTTCATATCCCCTTTCACCGCACACAAGTCAAGCCAATGGCCACGGGGATGATGATAAGCGTCGTTGGTATCGCTTTAAAAATAAACACTTCACGAGTTTGCTAAACAGTGTTATTCAAGTTGGTTTGATGATCCTTAGACTAAGAATGTTGTCGGTTTTTTTAAGTACTCAGCCAATGTCAGACGCCCGGATGCTCTGTACAGAATTTTGTTTTCTTTTCGCTTCTAAAACGCACTCAATTCATTTAAAAACTGTTGTATGTGAACAAATAAACGCGCTTCTACGAATTATTGTCTCGAATATAAGGTTTATATCCGTACATCAGACAGAAAACGGTGCCTCTGCAGCACAGAAACATCGCGTTGTGCAGTGCAATGGCCTAATATTAAAGAAATGTGAGAAGCGGGGAGAGCAGGTGAAGCGGGTGAATGATGCGCGCTCGAAAGGAGCAACGCCGTCCCATCCTCGACCTTCGCGCCCGGGAGGCTCGGAGGCGCATTGGGTTATTGGCTCCCGGCGCTGCCGCCGCTCATAAAACTGCATGACAATCCGCTTCACCGCCTCGGGGCGGACCCCCCCGTTCCTTCCGCACGGTGGACTTGGTCCAAGGCGAGGTACCAAAGACGGGGGGAACAGAACGCGCAACCTTGCGACCGTGTATGTAAATGGTGGTGCGTGTACGTAAACGGTATGAGCTATACGTCTCGTACTCACGATGAGAAAATAATTTAATTCTAGGGCGCATAAGTGGTTACTCATTTAACAAGATATTAAAAACAAAATGTAAGACGAAGTCATGAACGAACTTCACGAGTGAATAACGCTCCGATTAAAGTAATATTTTTGAGACAATTACCATATTTCACATACTTTTTCCACAATGACATCTCTCTATCAGATATTTCTGTGCTGATAAGATAGAAGACCGCCTCGTTTGTCACGGCAACGGCGCGCAATAAAAGAATATTAACGATGAAACACTACTTTCATGCTACTCTTCAGCGAAAAAAAAATTTTTTTTCAGGACAAAAATAGAGAAAGAAAGTGTTTAGAAAATGTAATACATACATCTAAATTTCACCTCCATTGAAAACGTAGAAAATAGAAATAACAGGGGAAATTCTTGGAGAAAAAATGGAAAGGAGAACATACGATCCTAATTCAGTGCCCAGGTGATGGCTAAAAGATAATTTTTTTCTCTGGTATTACGTTACCGATACCTCTCAAAGTAAGATTATACTACTCATTGTAAATAACATTAATATGCACCGGGACCCACAAGGGCGAGAGGGTGAAGACGCGGTTGGCAGCGAGGGTCACGAAGGGGATTACCGCGGAGAGGGCCGGCGCTGCCAAGTGTTACGTGACGGGCGCGGGCTTGCATAAGGACGCGCGCGCGGCATGTGGGGCACGCGGCGCGCGCGCGCTGACCTGGCAACAATGCGCACCGCGCCGCGCTGCGCCGCGCCGCTCGGGCAATACTCCCGCGACCGCCCATGCCTCTCCGAGCCTATGGGGAAACGCGGCGGCGGCGGCGGCGGCATCGCCCACCCGGCGCCCGGACGCCGCTTGCGGAAGGTCACGGGGAAGCAGGTGCCCCCGGGGATACGCTACGCCCCAGCACGACAGCCGCGGACAGCGGAGGTTATCTTTAGGAAACTCGTAACATGTGAAGCGCGGACATTTATTATCAAACACAGAATGTCTTAAAATAAATGTTACAAACTTCTAGGGTAGCACATGGGTCCCTTTTTAGCAATGAAAATATAATAGAACATTTCACACATGGAGGTACAAATGTCATTTGCTCCTGATTGTTGGGTAACGCTTTAAACGTTCGGCAGGTTCATAAAATCTCTTTATCAGACTTACAACATTACCCCTGCGGTACACCTCTGTAAGATGTTACAAAGAATCAGGGTCGCACGTAACACGTGTAACTTCTCTTGTAAGAAATTTCCCACAACTTCCACAGTCAAAAAGAGATCCTTTCCGACTCCTCTGCACACAACGTAGGAAATTGATGCATTTATCCTGAGATACCTACATGATAAAATCTAAAATTAGTATCTGCCATCCAAAGAATCCTTTTACACTTAATTTATTATGAAACAAGTATGAAAATAAATAATTATATAAATTCGCAAGATATACGAAATCTTAATAATGACTTCATATTTAATTTTACAATGTGTGTAGATACAATTTGAATATTTAAACAAACCCTGTCGATAATGAGAGGAAAATCTAAATAGATAAGCATCCCTTGATGTCCTAAAATAATAAAATAATAAATGTTTTTATTCACAAAATTGGAGATGATCCTATGATTTTTTTTTATCGTTTAGAAAAACACGCGGCTTACGAATCTGCTCCATTATTACAAAATGGAAAGGCAACTGCCAAAATGTCTTGTGTGAGATTGAACCGCCAGAATCCACATAATGGAAAACGCGGCGACGCGGTTCAAAGCCGTCAGCTGGAGTCGCGACCTGCCCCAACCTTCCCCTCCCGCTGAGTGCAGGGGGCGGGGTC